AGTTTTAAATTATTAAATAGCCTTTATGCACGTATGTTATAATTTATAATATAAGGCTGTTATAAAACTACTCATTGCAAATTATAAGCAAATATAAATTCAATTTTAATACAATACTTATTATTTTATAATACATTTTTATCGCAATTAGTTGTCGAAATTACCTCTCACTAAATATAAATAATTGCGGTGTTATTACTTTTCCTCTAGATAATGTTATTACTTATTAGTTATGACTTATTATAAAAAAAAATAGTTGTAGTATATTACATACCTATTAATACTTTAGTTAAAAAATCATTTAGGATAATATATGTTTTAAGATTCATAAACAGGAATACGATTAATTTTTAAAATATTGACTCATTTATAATGAAATATTTTTTAACTTCAGTATAATATTTCCAAATTAATATTCTTTTAGTTTTTATTACCAAAGGGACTATACCTAACCGTTTAAAAATAAACAAATAAATAAATATTTATATAGCAATATCATACAATAGTTTATGTACCTATTAATCAATATTATAATAATATAATAAATTATCATTAAAATTGTATATATTTAGTATAATTATTAATTATTATTCTTGACAGCTGTACCCAACAGCATGGTTAGTTATAGCTTTGGGGATTTTTTTTTTCTATAGATTCGCTTGTGCGACGTCCTCTTAGTACTAAACAGTTTATAAATTAAAAAAACATTTACAAATTTCTGTATTTTTGATGAATTTTGTATAAAGTATATAAAATAGAACATTTTTAACGGGGGGTAACTATATCCTAGTATATTTTAACCCATGAGGTAAATACATTTTTTACACCCTGACTCTTCAATTTTTAATAGGGTTTAATTCAATTTACTTGGCATTATGTTTACAATATTACATATTTATAGTGCTTAAAGATGTGGTTTTTACTTCGCAGTTTTTTTAAACGGAGTTCGACGAAGTGTTTTTGTTGTGCTTATAATTTACGCGATAACCTGCCCAGAAATAATATAGGTATTTAATAATAATATCGACAATTTATTCGTAAAACCTAACATTATGCAAATAATAACCGAAATTCATTACACAATAATATAATATTATTTAAGCAACATAAACCACTATATTACATTTTTTATAATATTATATAAGAGCGCGGCGGTCGGCGGCGGCGGCTGCTCATCGAATGGTCTTCATTACTGGATGACACAGTACGCGGCGGCCGACAGTCGCGATAGTGGATGTGCCGACGCCGCCCGAACAGTGTGCGCACACAATGAATGCCATCCGATTGTGTTTCACCGCCACCGTGGCGTTTCTCGTTGTCGCGATCGGCGGCAGAGTCGCGTCCTCCATGAATAATACCGTGGAGGTCAGGAAGTGTTGCCCGGTGGGTCGGATGTACGATCCGGAAGGGCGGTTCTGCAGACTGGTCGGGACGGACGTTGACGAGTACGAGCAGAGGTTGATGAATCGACTGCGGCGCGGATTCCGGGTGGCAGCCGATGAGACGTTGGAGATGTCCTATGACTTTCAGTTATATTGCTTCAACAGAGGAAAAGTGCTGGTCGACGTGCCTGCCGAGGAGATGCCTGGGCTGATGAAGGCGCAGTCGTCGCCAATCATGTTGCCACGGGAATACTGTTTCGATCTGACGCCGTCCGATGAGCTGGTGGCCTGGACGTGCCGGCCACGCGACCAGTACTGCGGCCGGGGCAATTACACGTGCGTCGGGAAATGTTGCAATAACGGATATATAGCCATCGACAACTCCAAGTAAATCTATGACGGCCTGGTCCTATGTATAAGTTTAAAGTAGTATATAGGGCTTATACCGAGAGTATCGACAGCTGTAGCTGGTGCCGTGGTTATTTGGCGGGAAAGGGGTGGTGGAGGTTAGGAGTTGTCCTGATTGGCAACATTTTGATTGTGTGTATATACACACAGTGGTGCCGAGGACATGGTTCAAGTCTGGCAAGTTCCAGACCTAATTTAAGTGGTGGGTGTGGGGTGGTATAATATATTTTGTAAAAATGTCCATAAATATTATTATACCTTCAAGTATTATGTAGATTATAGCTATATTTATCAATGAATTTTATACGTGGAGAAAGCATCCACCGTGTTTGTGCTATAGTTACCAGGTACCAAACGGTATTTTGTCATTTCAAAGTGTCGCCGAAGTACATTCATGTGTATGTATGACAGCTAATACCTATACATATATAATTTGTCTGTGGGGTAGATCCTTAGGTAGGAGTAAAAATGTAAAAAGTGAGGATTTGGAAGGTAACTGATAATCACTCGGCTGTAAGGTTGAAATGAATCCTGGTGAATATATTACATTTATTAAATTATATTATTATTAATCGTTATAATTGCATTAATGTTAAGTTACCGCTTAGTACCTATATAATATACATATTTATATGTTTTGTTATTATCATATCTACTTTCCGTAGATCGGTCAACTGTGTTGGGTTCGTGTTATACCCAACGTATAAATACCCAATAAACTTAAAATATTAGCTTGAAATGAATACATATATTGTGAAAACGCCATAATAATATAGTAAAATCTAATAATATACATAAAAGCTTTAAGTCCAAGCGAACAATATTTTTTAGTTAGAACAACGAAATAACTAAAATCGTTATTCATCATTTAAATACCTAATGTTATATAAATTTAAACTTCAATGTCTATATTTTATTGTATATCTGGTCCCAAATATGAAATATTTTAGAGGAACTTAGTATTTCATTAGCAAGTCCTAAGTACACATAATTTTTTTTTAAATATACTTCAACTGCATAGGGAAAAATGTATGTGGGATCTTGTATCAACTTGTAAAGTATCTTAGAGAACCTAATATTTTTTATGAAAACTTAAAAAATAGGTATAAATGTAAATAATTATTTATATGCTTTGGAAATTTAATTCAGTATAGAAAGTTATAATTTTATAGCAATGGTTTTAATTATTGAAAAAACATTTTAACTTTGGTGATTATAAAAAAAAAGTTGTATTTTTTATATTTATAATTACTGTATGAAAAACTTTCAAGGAACCTTGTATTGATTTTTCAAAGATCTTACTTGCAAAAAAAATGTTATTTATAAAACAAAAAAGCACATAATTTTGTCTCTTTACTGTATAGAGTAGGTTACAAGGTTACAAGTGGATATCTGAAATGCATGGTGTTCATTTTTAATACTATAGAAGTTTTAAGTACCCACGAATAATAATTTTTTAAATATAATACAAAACTAAAATCGTTCTTCATCGTTTAAATATCTAACTTCGTCCAAATTTTAAAATAAAATAACCATAAATATACCGTTTTAATTTTTACAGCGTAGTCATTTTTTTGAGATAGGAAAAAGGATATTATCTACTATTGAAGGCGACCCCATAAAATTTGCGCTTGCAGTCAGTACTACAATAGCATAATGTGTAGTATGTTACGTCTTAGAGGGCTGTAATCTATATAAGTAGATTTGATAAATATATTATTTATCAATCTTTTTGATCGCTGCTGCACTCAAAATGTGCGATAATTTTAAAAAGATTTAGCATTTGCAATTTTGTTATCTTTATTATTATTTAAGTTGTTTTGATTGCTGATTAAATTAAAATGAGTATAAAGTATAAATTATAAATTGACACATACATGGTTATAAATTGAAAACAATTTTGGCGCGATTCCACTGGTAAATCGTCAGGGTTACTACAATACATTTTTGTAGATATTATCATATAATATTAATTATTATAAGTTATAACAACTGGGATTACTGGTTTGGACTTGAATCGAAACCTGTCCCAGATTATTATATACAATATAATATTATATCCATTTCATACCTATATCAATTTTATTTTAAATGTTTTTCAGTTTCGATTTTGTGACTACGATTGTCTTAAAAAACATATTGTACCTATGCCAACAATAAATTTCGTGTTCACTTATGTTCTGTAGATGTATTTGGCTGGTATATAAATATTAAATAGGTACTTAATACAAGTTAGCGATACCAACATAATAACGATCGAGGAAAAACGATGAATTTTTATAAAGCTTTAGAGGTCCACATTAATTTTTATATTTTAATGATTTTTTAATTTTTATCAAAGTACACTTTAATTATTGTCTACATTCTACACTCACAGTAAACATGAGGTACCTACGCATTTGACAATATTTTGTGTTGTTACTAATTATTAGATATTATTATTCGTATTTCATTGTAATTGAGAGTAGCTATTTCATAACACATAGCGGTGTCACACTGTCACTGCACAGTGGTGCAAATAGGAAAAAAGTTTAGGGGTTTAATTTTTTTTTTTAAATTATAATATATTTTAAGTTATTATTTTTGGAGGGGGCATTAAGTAATTTTGAGGGCACTAAGCCCCCCCCATTTAATATACGTTTAATAAAAGTAAATGGTAAATACTACTTATGGCTTATTGTGGGCTCAAATACCTACCTCCCTTTAAGAAACTTCTATTTAAGGAAACTTTATATTACAAACAATTTGCATACTTAGGATAATTTAAATGTATTCATTTATTTTAAATATTATATATATTATTATTTATATGTATTTTGTACACTAAAAAAATATCACTGATATATTAAATTAGCAACATTAAAGTAATTGATTGTAAATTTATATTATTCATTGACTGGTGATATGTTTTTTTTGGTAACTTCAACTAATCCTAGTAAAAATAATTGCTAATAGCTATTAATGTTGAGTAAACTAATATATAAATAAATGAATAGTAATTTAATTTTGTTCACAGTAATATAATATATTTATAGGTAGGTACTTACATATTGTTATTTAATTTATATTATGTGTTATTAGTTGAAGAAGTATGATTGGTGCAGGTTTTTAGAACATTGGTTTTTATTTAGATTTAACCGATTTAAGACTATTCGTGTAATACGAAGAATTGGATATTTTAGGGGCAAATTTAAGTGCAAAAAAAGGGGAATGCCGTTCAAGTTGTCCGTCTATGAAACAGATGCAAGCGGAAGTCCGGCGGGCCTGTCGAGCAACACGGTGCTACCGTACTGGGCCAATAAACTGTCATCGTGTCTTGCTGTGAATATGATAGACAACAGGCTCACGTTAACCACTGATGGCAACCTTAGCGTTATCCACGAAGGCGCCAAATGGATCATACCAGAAACGAAGTACTGCTTGGAGTATTACTCCAAGGACGGGACACTGGAGTCCGCCGATCTGGTGGCAGTCGTGTGCTCAGATGCCAAACCACCGGTCAGTTTCCTCTTTTGGGTTAAAACCCTGTCTGTCGTGTGTCTGGTGCTCACGCTGATCGTGTACGCCACACTGCCTCACCTCCGGAATGCCCACGGCTACTACGTCATGTTCTACATGGCCTGCCACCTCGTGTACTTGGTCTGCATAATGATATATTCATTGGTACACGAAGATGTAAACAGCCCGTTGTGCATTCTATTCGGTATGTGTTACCGGTTTTTTTTTTTTTTTATAAAGGTAGACAAACTTATGAGGAATGTTGTATTACATTTTCAAATCTTAGACTTTAAAAAAAAAAAAATTATGAATTCTCAGTTCAAAATAATTTTCTAGCTTTCGTGATTTTACCTATTTTGTTAAGATTTAAACTTTAAAGAATTGTAAAAAAAAACTGTGACTCAGGACTTTTAATATTTTCAAACGCCATTGTATCAATATATTAGAAGCCTTGTACTAAATTTTCAAGCTTTTTTAGCCAACAAATATTATTGACATTCATAAAAAAAAATCACCGTTTAAGATAGTAAAAGTGCTTATTTTCTTCAACAGTATCTTTTCTGACAAGAAAGTGAATCTAGTATTCTAGTTGGTACTTTGGTGGTTCAAAATTAAAAATTGTCCAGTAGTTTTCAAAAGTGTCGTGATAAACAAATTAAAAATTAAGGAAAAACGGGAATTTTTACGTGAAATCGATTTTCGACAAAATTGCAAAATCAACTTTGGTTTTTGGCGTAACTCTAAAACGAATCACTGTAGAAACATGCAATTTCGACTGAATGTTTATATTAGTATTTTCTATACACCATACCATTTTAATAATATTATTTTGAGCTGTTTAAGTATATTTTCAGTTTCCAATATTTTAGTTTTTTATTCTTTATTTACTTTAAATTTTATGTGTTAGGTGAAAAATCTTGATAATTTAATATCAGGCTTTTAATATATTGTTTCAATGAGAAATGAAAAATATTAGAAATCCTTAGTCACAGTGAAAATATTAATGTTGGGAGGGGCAACTTCACGCAACTACTTGTCCATGCATCTAAAAACTAAACAACAACAAATATAAATATTTCCGTTATTATTTGCCTTATGTGTTGGCTTAAACATAATATTTGATATTAATTATTCTTTTGTTTGTTTGAAACTATAATTTTAGGTTATTTTATGTTATTTGCAACTCTGACAACATGTTGCTGGTTAAACGTAATATGCTTCGATATTTACTGTATGTTAAGGTATGTAAATTATATTCTTACATAATATGGTAATAAAATGTGCAAAACATTAATGTGTATAAATAGTAAATACTGTATATTTATGTGGTGTTATAAACTTCTAAGCCACAAATAAGTTAGGTGATAATATTATCAATAAATTTATAAGTTATTCTCTATTAGCATTATACGGGTACGGGATAACATTTATCATATTTAATGGTAGGTTATTTTAATAACTATATATAATAAATGTGTATATAAGTTTTTAAGGACCTATTTCATCATCATAGCTAATCACTATTAACGTTAACCGGAGTTTAATCGACTGAATTTGGCCGGTTAAATATATGTTATCAGCCGATTAAGCGTAGGTAATCGAAGTTTAACCGTGATTAGTGTTGATCTGTGTTGGTGAAATCGGCCCTGAGTATATCTATAATATAGTTACTGATCATGGTCCTATATCAACAGTAAAAATATTTAGATACATATATATTATATATTTAAAGTGTTTTCACTCCTTCCTGGACTTTCGAGAATCACCTATCGGCTATCACCTATGGCCGTATATTTAAAAAAGTATATATCAATAGCATTTATTAAAATAAAGTCGTGGAAAAAATTACTAAGTGTCAGTAATGTACCTACAAAAGAAACAATTCATGATTAATATTATAATGGAATATTTATAGGTACATACTACCTATAATACCTTGTATGGAGTATGTTGTATCTTGTACAACAATTTAGATTAATTACGATGAAAACCATACTTTTGATTTCATTTATTTTATTTTTTAAAAAGAACACGTCCGAAGAAAATTACATTTTTTGACTGCTCTAGGAAGACAGACAGATAATATAAAAAGTGTGTGAGTGCGTTATCAACACCTATACCCAGTGTTGCACTTTTAGATATTATTAATATATAACACTTCACCACTAAAAATAAAAATTGAATATAATATGAAAATTGAATATTTAATATTACAAATGAAAACTTATAATAACATAATAATAATAGAAAAAATATAAAAACATGTATATTATAATGTAGTATATAAATATAACATGAACATGATAAGTTAATACAGAATATTAAATAATATTATATAATTATAATAGTGTTGGTAGATAATAATACAAAAGGACAAATGAGACAAATTACAATTTACCTAAAAAAAGTTATTGACAATATTTAGTTGGTTTCCTAATAGTTCTCTTAGGTCTTTGTTGGTTATTAGTGGTATTTAAGATTGTTTCAGAAATTGGACTTTTATAACTATTATTTGAATCAGTGTTAATATTAGAAATTTGTTCATGATTGGGTTGTTTAGTTTTTAACATTTGGTCTACATGACGTTTCCAAATGTGATTTTCATCTGTGGTGACTTGATAGTTTCTAGTGCCTAATATTTTTGTTACTACAGCTGTTTTCCACTTGGGACTTGGAGATCTATAATCCCTTACTAAAACTTTTTCATTTATATCAAAAGCAACATCTCTCCTTCCGCTTTTTTTAATTTGAGCAATTTGTTTACCTAGGACTAGGTCGTCCGTTTGTGGTTTGAGTAAATCAAAAATAAATCTTACTGACTTGCCTAATAGAATCTTAGTAGGAGTTTCCTTTGTGGTAGTATGAGGAGTGTTTCTGTATTGAAATAAAAATTTACTCAGTTCAACATCTAAATCAGATTTAACAGGACTTTTTATAATTTTCTTGATAACATTTTTAATTATTTTTACAGCGCTTTCAGCAGCACCATTACTTTGCGGATGGTAAGGGGCTCCAACTAAATGCATAATACCATACATTTTTAGGAAAGAATGAAAAACTTCATTAGAAAAACATTTAGCACCATCAGATGTAATTGATTTAGGTAAACCAAATCTAGAAAAAACTTCAGTTAAATGCTTAATGACTGTGGTAGTGTTAAGAGAATTTACTTTGAAACATTCAATCCACTTGGATGTGGCATCAACTAAAACAAAAAAAGTTTGACCAAAAACTGGCCCAAGAAAATCAATATGGATTCTTGTCCAAGGTTTAGTTGGCCATTCAAAAGGTTTTAGAATTGCTTTTGGAGGGATTGCTCTATTTTCACAACATACTTCACAGCTACTAGTTAACTTTTCGATTTCACCATCAAGTAAAGGCCACCAAAAATAGGCTCTAGCCAAACTTTTCATTTTTGTTATGCCCTGATGTGATTCATGTAACTGATTTAACAATTTATTTCTAAACTTGGCCGGAATTATTACTCTATAACCCCACATTAAAACGTTTTGTTCTATAGTTAACTCATTTTTTCTTTTATAATAGGGTATTATATTTGGATCTTTATTGGAATCGTTTGGCCAATTATCATTAGAAACATAATCAATTATTTTTGAAATGATAGGATCAGACCTAGTTACTTTTTTAATTTTGAACCAGTCTAAAATCCAATTTGATTCATCATTTATAAAATTTAAATAATTAGTGTTTGCTTCTATGTCTATTTGTTTACTTTGTATGGATAATCTAGATAAATAATCAGCTGGATTATTATCAGTGGAAACCCATTTAATATCGAATTTGTAAGCCATCAAAATATAAGCCCAACGCTGTAAGCGGTTTGCAGCAATAGTGGGAATACCCTTTTTTGGATTTAAAATGTGTGCTATGGGTTTATTATCTGTTACCAAAGTAAAATGTTTTCCAAATAGATAATCATGAAATTTTTTAACACCAAAAATAACTGCTAACCCTTCTCTTTCTAACTGTGGATATTTTTGCTCAGCTTTAGTTAATAAGTGTGATGCAAATGCTATTGGTCTTTCTGTATTATCATTGTAGACATGTGATAAAATGGCACCAACCGCAATACTAGATGCATCAACAGTTAACTTTAATGGTAATTCAGAATCAAAATTAGCTAAAACTCTGTTAGAAATTAGAAGTTTTTTTATTTGATTGAAGGCATTATTACATTTATTTGACCAAATAAAATCCTCTTCCTTTCTAGTCAATTTATAAAGTGGTTCTAAAAGTTCAGCTGAATTTGGTATATATTTGATATAATAAGTAACCATACCTAAAAAACTTTTCAACTCAGATAAAGAAATAGGTACACTAACATTTTTAATGGCTTCAATATGTTTTTCAGTGCTATGTATACCGTTTTTATTTAGAAGATGACCCAAATATTCAATGGAATTTTTAAGAAATTTACACTTTTCAACTTTAACTTTTAAGCCTGAATTTTGAAGTTTACTTAACACAGCCTCTAATCTATTATTGTGTTCTGATCTAGTTTTACCAGAAATAGATATATCATCTTGGAAAACTGTGACACCATCCATGTCTCCAATAGTTTGTTCTAAGACTCGTTGAAATATGCTAGCAGCACAATTTATGCCATATGGTAGCCTAGTGAAAGCGTATAACCCTAAATGTGTATTTATTACAACTAAATTTCTAGACTCTTCAGATAAAATTAACTGTGCATATGCATCTTTGAGATCAATTTTGCTAAAATAAACACCATTAGTGTGTTTTGTGAATAGATAGTCAATTTTAGGTAAAGGGTGTTGGGTTCCTTGTAAGACAGGGTTCAAAGTTACACTAAAATCCCCACATAATCTGACTGTATTATCTGGTTTAAGAACTGGAACAACAGGGGTTGCCCATTTGGAATGTTCAACTGGAATTAAAACACCATTCTTAACCAATCTATTTATTTCAATTTCAACTTTGTCTTTTAACGCAAAAGGTACAAATCTGGGTTTAAAAAACTTTGGTGTACAATTTTGATCTACAAAAAGAGTAATTTTATATTTTGAGAAAGTGCCTAAACCTTTTTCAAAGACCTTAGAGTACTTTTGACATAATGATTTTATATCTTTTGGTTCATCATTATTATATAACAAATTTACATAATTTACATCTTGAGTTATAGACAGATTTAGTTTTTTAAAATCATTCCTACCAATAAGTGGAGGTCCTCCATTTTTTATAACATACAAAGCAATTTGGCCATTATTGGAATTACATACAAATTTTAAATTGAGTTTGCCTAAGGGTTTAAAGTGCTTACCAATATAATCTTTTAAAATAATATCATTTTCATTTAATTTAATGTGACTAAAGTTTTCTAAATAACAACTTTCACTTATAAGGGAATGCAAACTGCCAGTATCAATTTGAAATTTAATGTTTATGTCATTTAGTTGTACATTTAGTTCTAATGGTTTTATTGTTTCATTACTTGGTTCAGAAATTAATTTGAAATTGTCTGATACACCCAAAAAAATGTCATCGTCATCAGAACTATTACTTTTATTTTTTAAATAATGAGTGTTGTAAGTTTTATTTTTTTGATTAGATTTATTTTTATTTTTACACATGGGGGCTAAATGTCCCACTAAATGACATAAATTACATGTATAACCTTTGTACTTACAATTGTTTGATTTATGGTTTTGACGACCGCATACTTGACATTTTTGTTTGTGAGTTTCGCCCGAGGTTTCGCCAGCTTGATCCTTCTGTGAGTTCTTTGAATACTGTTTATTGATTATCTTCTTGGTGGATTTCTTGTGGGTAAATTTATTTCCTTTTACAAAATTTACTTCATTTGGTTCTTGATTATTCTTCGCAGCATTTTTACTGGCCATTTCCTTAGCAAGAGCAATGTCCATCATTTTATTCATAGTGATAGTTTTGTTTGTGGCATCTTCTTCGAATAATCGTTCTTTAAATTGTTTATCAAGACCAAGGTTGAAAATGTCTCTTAAAACAATGTTTAGTTCAGTACCAAAACCACATGGTATGGATAAGGTGCGTACTCGAGCAGCCCATTCAGCAACCGTCTCCATAGGATTTTTCTCCGCTCTGTAAAATTCATATCTGGCAGAAAAATACGATTTTACCGGCGTGAAATGTGCATCTAATAATGTGATTAGATCATTGAATGATTTTGCTTCAATGTCCAAAGGCACACATAAACTTGTGAGTAAAGACAACGTTTCGTCACTCAGCGCAGTTATTAAAATGGCTTT